AAGAATATTTTGTATCGATGTTCGTGGTATTCTAAGGTTTTGTGCCATAGATCTCGTACTCGTTGAGGGATTCCGGCTAATTTCTTCAAGTACTACTTCTCTGCGATCCGGATCAGCTGTAGGATATCCTTCATTGCTTCCTCGTCCTGGAATGCGGCCTGCCATGAAAGTGTTATGTGTGTTAATAAAAACACGGTGGTCTGGGTAATGCTCAGGTTGTGGTCCGCCTCGGCGTATAAGTTGTTCCCGGTACAGCTGAGCTGCTAAAGCGCCGTTGCCTTGAGCAACGCCATAATAATAATGCATCGACATTTCAACACCGTTTTAGTGTGAACATGTGGTCAGGAATATTCAATATGGAATTTATCGGTCCATTTGAACTGCCGTCAAGGTTGGATTCGGTAGCCTACAAAAGCTTCCTTGAAAATAGCCTACCATTATTGCTGGAAGATTCAAGCCTGGAAGCCAGACGAAACATGGTGTTCCAGAATGATGGTGCACCATGCCACAACGCAACGATCGTGCGAAACTACTTAAACGAAAGGTTCCCAGACAGATGGATCGGACGAAACGGACCGATACGATGGCCTCCACGCTCCCCTGACCTCAACCCCATTGATTTTTTTGTTTGGGGATATTTTAAAGACATAACATTCGCCCAAGAATGTGCAAATGAAAATTCATTGAGGAACAAAATTCAAGAAGCGACACATGTGTTGAAAAATAACACACAAGCATTTAGAGATTTAAAACAAAATTTCATACGTAGGTGTACACTGTGCATTTCTGTTAGAGGCAGACATTTTGAAAACCTCTTGTAAATAACATAAATGAATAATAATCTGCTGTTCAGTAAAAATCAAACGTGTTTTTGTGGTTTTTGCAAATTTTTTTTCCGAAACTAACAATTTCTATTGAGCAGAGGGTTATCCAATTTTGGGTTCGGTTCTATTTGAGCCACAATTACGGTAGCATGTAGTAAAGCTAGGTTGATGAAATTTTTACGGTAAATAGCTGATACCGTAAGGAAGTTTTTAAGATACTTACGAATAGTAAGAACATGTTTTTTCAATTTTTTATAAACGTTCAAAGTTGTTGCACTTTTTTACTTTTTTGTTATGTTCGAAGATTTTGAAAAAAATTAAAAAGTAGTATTAGTTACATGACTTGAATGATTATATGATAGTTAAGCCTTAGGTCTTAGCTACATAATCGTGAAAAAAGCAGGCATTTATCACAATTATTAACGAAGTTATGGTAAAAATAAACACAGAACTCAAAAATTCTCGAAAAATCCGAAAAAAAATCATAACTCCTAAACTAAACAAAATCGGACCATATATATGGGGGTGATTTGGGTTCCTCTCGATGTGGGGAATCTAATTTTTTTTTTATGACGTCACGTGTTTGGCCACCCTGTATATGTATTATTATGTAAACTCTACATAGAGACCCCGATGTCCCTTACCTAAAGGACTACATTAAGCAACAGGCGCAGCGGCGCTATAGCCTAGCGGAATCGCACAGCAACCCTCTGTTGCGTGAGCCAGTGGACTACACAGTCGAGCAAGTTCGCAAGCACAAAAGGCCGCGGCTCGCACTTTAATCAAAATTAACTCGTGAACTTAGAACAACCAAAATTGGAGCATTTTTACACAATCTTTAAAAAAAAATCAAATATTTTTAGACCATACCAAAATCTGTGAAGTGATTTTAACAATGCCTAAACGCTGCCTATCCTAAAAGATTCTCTTCTTCCTCTTTGTTCTCGTTCTTCCTTCTCTCCTTTCCTTCCCCTTTTTTCCTTAAAATTGTCTGGTTTCTGGGTTACCAGACCTGTCAGACTTACAAACTGACACTGTGACTCAAGAGCAAAGGTCCCACGGACCGCTCTGACAACCAACGATGACTTGACTTGTTATTGTTTATTCATAATGTCGTGGAATCAGGAAGAAGTTACACTGTTGTTGATGCTGTTGTTGTAGGAGTACCAAAAATGGGCAAATCTGTTCAAGGTTAAGTCACCCAATTACAAAAACAGAAATTTGCGGCGTCAGGCGCTGGATGCGATAGTCCAAGCATTGAGAAGTTTTATAATATTAACCAAGATCTCGATTTCAAAAATAAATTTAAATCAACGACGTCTGTTGTCTTTCCGATTATATTGGACGTCATACCCGTTAAGGTTATGTCCATTCGAAAATATTACTCTAATGCGCAGGCGTATCATATGAATTACTCGGAAATTTTGTCTGCTTGTGTCATACAGGTTGTAGAGAAAATCTTCATATTTTTTCCATGCAAATTTTCGGTATAATTATGACCATAATTTTCGAAGTAATTCTCTTGTGTGTAAAACGGCTCTAACACAATATTGAATTAGAGGCTTCTTGTCTGATCTACCATCGATATCTGCAGTGGTGCAGATTCTAGAATTTAAGATTTATGTTCTGTGATGTTTACAACACGTAAATCTGTTGGACTGGTAATAATTTACGTTGGCGTTATTTTATTCTAATAATCTCTGTGACAGCTGCACCGTACGTATTGAATGGAATTTAGGAAGGTTTGTTTTTGTATGAAAATTTTTGAGAGTAATCAAAACATTTTTGGAGTGGTTCTGCTTATTTTAGGTTAGAGCATTATTATGGTGTTCGATCAAAAATTTGGATTCTTTGATCAAACCTATTATTGGATCACATAAAAATATTAAAACACCTTTTGTGACAAAATTTTCGTTTTCTAAAATTTGAAAAATGGCATATGTAAATATGCGGAGATTCCCAGCTGAAAATCGGAGTCAATCTACTTTTTAATCAAAACTTCATCAATAGCCGTCTGGCGGTTGATAGTCATAGTTGTCTTGTCAAAAAAGACAATTTCGAAAAGCCTCTGTCAGCTCTTTCATTTGCAATCTGGAAGCCATACAATTTAAGTATAAATCCTTGAAAATTAATACTTTAATGGACGACCTAAGAACTTGCGTGATACTGTGCGTAACAGTGCCATTTTTTTTCCTGTTTTCGATAGAGCGGTTGCTAAGCCCCTGTGTATCTCTTTAGTAAATACAGACCTTTTAAGATGAACATAGTCCATAATTTTGAATAAAGAGGTTTCTCTGTTTATCTTCCTATCGATATCTTTGGTCCGTCATCTTACGCCGGCTCCACACGTTGGCCCCAACGCCACTCGCCCAACGTGTGTATCTAGAAAATAGCGTTGGCCCCAACGTTGGAGCGACCGTTGGTAGTTGGCTGTCGATTGTCGGTTTTATCAAAGGAATCTGCGCCAACGTTGGCAATCCGTCCACATATTGGCTCACTGGCTCAGTCTTGTTGTAACACGCGTCGAGTGTGTATGTGGAGATATGTCATCAACAACATCGCTACCCGCGTGGACAAACGAAAAAGTTGTAGAATTTTTAGAGTTATACCAGGCGCATCCAATAATATGGAACGCCTCTCGCAAGGACCATAAAAATAGAAATTTAGTAGCCGATATATATTCAACAGAATATGAAAATGATTTATTCTATTGAGGGATTAAAAAAGAAACCGAAATTGCTCTAAGCGCTTTAACAGTACTGATATGAGTGCGTATAATTTATATGCCGGCAACAGCGCGGCCAGCTATCACCCCTGACAGCTGTTACCCGCGACTTTGTATTTGTATGCTTGAAACTGTTTATTGCTTTGGAGAAGAGATATTCTCTCCGCCAAGTTTCCTTAAGGCGCAATTCCACTGAGGCAACAATGAACGAAATGTGGCGTGGTGGCATGCTACTTGTTTCCTAGTGTTGCCTCTCGTTGACGTTCGACAGTGTTGCCCAAAATTCTATTAATGCCGCACGCAGATTTTGTTCCCCTATGTGGAGCATGAGTGTAGCATGCATCTTAACGATTCAGTTTAAGCAACTCCAGTTTAGTACGTCATGTCATTACAGACAGGCTGCTTATTTAGTAATTTCTTCGGATCGGAAAAGAAAAACGCCAGAATAGAATATTGGAGAATAAATATATACGTAGATGGTTAAGAAATTCAGTACAATAACTTAAATTGTTGGCTGACGATGATGCTTTATTCCGAAATTTCACTCGGATGAGTAAAGACGATTTTCACTACTTACTAGGAAAACATTTTACCTATCATAAAAAATGTGATACCAACTTTCGGGAAGCAATAACGCCCCACTTGAGATTGCTAGTGACATTAAGATATTTGGCTACGGGTGATAGTTATCTATCGCTTATGTATGTTTCGGATATCTGAACCAAGCAATTTCCAATACCGAACAGTTGTATTTCCCTATTTAAATAAATCAACCGTTAATAAATAAGCCAACTATGGAAATAAAATGAAAAGATGTTTCCTTCTTGTCCCCCTGAAACCATAACCAACCGCAGACAGTACTGTTTCGGGCTCATTAGCCCTCGTCAGTGCGGTATAGGTCTGCTCGTCTGCTACTGGTAAGTCAAGGAGACAGCTGGACAAGAAGCAAAAAATCGTATACGTCTAAAAGACTGAAGGTACTGTACGCTAGCAAGTGGCCGTAGCCACCAACTATTTTTGCCTCCTGTAATTTATTTGCATCTTTATATCTTTCCGATTTGTTATTCCATAATTCATCCGAATTATGGTAATCTTCAATTAAAGATAATGTTTCTTCATTGGTCCACTCCATTTTATCGCCTGCTACAAGCCGCACCGATCCGAACGGGTTTGGATAGCCGGCGACACTGATCAACACGTGGATTCATGTCACTGACGGCGCCCTCGAGAGGCAACAACGGGCAAATTGTGGCATGCGGCAAGTAGACATTTTTTTGTTGCTTTGTGTTGCCTCTACGGAAACACAATGCCGTATGCTACATGTTGCCTCAGTGGAATTGCGCCTTTACATAAAACATCGTTTTTAAGATGTTAAGTAATGCTACCATCTTTCGAGGTATGCCTGTTTCAACAACGTGGTTCATCCATGGCACGAATAATTGAAACATTTGTTTTTCTTTAGATAGATCTTTATTATAAAGAATACAAATAAATGGTGATAATTAAAATAATCTAGAATGTAAACGTAAAAAAGAATACTTTCATTTCCCATATCTTTTAAGTAACGCAAAATAATTCCTAAATAATGTTATAAATTGTTAACAAAATACTTTAAAGCAGAGATACATAACGCTAAACCTAGTCATTCTCAATTTGTCTATTATACAAAAGCTCTCAATGGAACCATAAAAACTCGTTAATCGTGACTCCAGTCAACAATTTTATAAATGCTTCCTCATTTTTGTTCACCAAAGTGTGTAGTTATTTCTCTAAAATATATCAAAACGGTAAATCGCTATTCCAAAATCAACATATAACAAGAAATCTTCTTGATTCACAACTTTAAAAAATACATCAAGGAATAAATAATTATTCCAGCTTAGAATATATTTCTTATAACTAATAATGACGTCGGAATCTATCAAGAAGTCAATAATATCCAACTAGATTTCAACACCTCACCTAAACTGACATTAACAAAGTCATTCCAGTGAAGGCGAGCTATTATGAATTAATCACCACATTTTTGTTTCCAATAAGCCGATACACAATAAATACTGCAATGTACTATTTTTCGTGAAAATTGCATACATCATCCAAGTCAAACTTCACGATACCTCTTTTCGAAACAAACACTTTTCACAGATGATAAATTCATAAACAATCGCCTACAGTATGAAAAATAATTAAAATGGATGTTAACATAAATCAAAATGACCGAGCTAATAGATATATAGATAGCTATGGATTGTATTAAACTCTGAGTGCATATAATTTGCGATTTATTTTAAAGCGTTGATGTAACTTTTGAAACGAATATTGAGTTTTTTCTTCATAATTATCTAGTAAACCATTCGTTAGAATACCTCTGTCAACACACAAAACGTCTATTTGACGTCATATTACTATTGTCGGAAAGCAGCCAAACAGATAGTTGAAACAAAACGTTTCAATTACCCTTAGCTACGATCTCACGGGGAAAAAGACGACCTACATGCCATGCTTTTGATCTCCCTATCGCGACCCTCGCCTTGAGTGGGGAGTGCAAAGTTAACCGGCGAGGGTTGTGGTTGTTCACACGATCACGACTCAGTTTATTCCATAAAGCTGACCATGGAGGAGCTTCTCATTGATGGGTGTGCTCCTTTGAGTTCAGATTTTATCGGTAGATTAGCGAAAGATAGAGAGTCACCTGCACACATAAACAATAAAAGAAATGGGCCAGGAAATCGCATGCATGAAGAAATTTTGGGGAACATAATATGACAGATGCTGAACTAAGAACACCTTGAAGATTTACAAAAAAAAAAATGCTACAAATGTCTGAAATTCAGTTTCAACACACATTCCAAAGGCACAACGAACTGCCTCGCTCTTGACTGTTTGATACCGGGCGCCTACGCCTACGTGCCATGATCCGTGAGAACGCAGCTTTAGGGTCGCATATCACGATATGAAATTTGTTATGAAAATTAATATCAAGCTTGTAATAATCTGGACCTGTACAACAATTGGCAACCTGGTTAGATGGACGATGTTTTCACCATCATAACCGACAAATGTTGACAACTGACAAGAACAGTACAGTAGTGTAGGTCTGACAACATCCGTTGGAAATAATTTTAACCTCCTTTGACTCCTGCTAAACTCTATTTTACCGAGTACCCTTCACGTTTTGACGTCTACTGAGGTCAACAGCTGATCAGCAAGTGTCATTTGTCAATATGGGGAATTTTGAAATATGACTATACAATCAGCTGTTATTCTACCGTAATGGATACTAGTGAAAAAGACTTGGTTGCCCATTGTCGGATACAAATTTCATATAAAATTCTATATCGTGTCATGCGGCCCTTACATTGACGTTTCTTGATAACGAAACTCAATGCGCTGAAGAACTTTAACGTTTGTGTGCTAACATTTTTAGCAAATATCGAACGCGATATATCATCAGTAATTTTACTAGTTTTTGCCAAAATCTTTGTCAGCCATCATCGGTTATGGATATACAGGTATTCGCAACCTTGAGTTTTTTTGCAAATTCAGTAGACTAACATCGGTGATGTGGCGCCCATACTAGCGACAGCGAGACTATGATCCAATTACATAGTATGTGCACCTAAGTATCTTATTTTGGTGAAATATTTGGCACTATCAAAACTTTCTATAATACAAGTTTTGAATAACTACTGAACCACAGTGAGATGTACTGCTAAAGCACCAAATTCTAAAGTTGAGGTTAAATAATTTGTAGTGCACTGAATTTTCTCAGTGGGCAACTCAAAAAATGGGGCTACATGCGTAACTTGCTATTTCGGAAAATTCCATTTCACGTACTAACGGACAAATAAAAGTGTACTAAATAGATTAAGAAAAGTCAACTTTCTCAAGTAATAATTTGTTATTATATTGTAGTTCTGATATGCGTGCAGAGTGTGAAGTTAGTATTTACTTATTGTCTGTGTAATTGCAGAGTGTTGGAAGAGACTCACTTAGAAAATTGATTGACTTTTATTGTCTCTACGCACATATCAGAATAGACTACACAGAGAATGAACTCTGAAAAAATATATTCGTCTAAGTATTCAATATCGAATAAGGAAAGAACCGTCGATAATTAAATATTTGTAATGGCCATGAAAATACATATATAGTAATTCAGTCTTCAACCTAATAATTCAATGAAATCAGGAACAATTTTGTTACCCCATACGTGATTCCAATATCAAAGTTGTTCACCAAGAGATCTGAAAATGCAACAGAGGTACCGCACAGTAATCCGCCATTTTGATTCACACTTCCGAGTCTCACTTCGTCAGTTGTGGGAGTGACTTTGATTATAGATATTATGTTTCTGTCATCGCGAGAAGGTGCAGACAGATAATGGCGGATAAGTGTAGAAGACTAAGATTTTCGACAGCGGTTTTTGCGTAAAAAATACTTCTTTACTAACACATCGGCTATTTGCTTAACTGCAAATTTAACAAGTTAGCCTCAATGTCATTCAGCTAATCCCTTGTCATGTCATTTATTGCCTTCTGTTGAAGATAGTCTAGAATGTCAGATTGAGTTTCGATGGTCAGTTGCTGTCTTTGAAATATTCAAAGCATATTCGCAATACCAAGATTATCATCTCCATACACCCGTTACAGATACATGTTGAACTATTTAAAAAATTACCAATCAGTTAACTAAAAGTAAATAAAAGTGGATGACTAGTTAACTTTGCAGCTTCAATTTAGTCACGCTTATTAACTATCTTCTTAATTTTATGACGAAACTAGCAGCTTTTTCAATATCTCTTGGCATATCAACTCATATAGCTCAAGATACTATAGAGAAGTAAACTTAGCACCATTCTGACTCTATCTTGGATCACAGGGATATGTCAATAGTTGACATTTGACTGAAATGTTGACAGGTTTCGAATGATTGTGAACCTTATCCAGCAAGGAGCCTGTATACCAAGAGAACTTGCAAAATGAGCAAAAAACGACCCCAAGGCCTGACTGAGGCCGCAGTGATCGAAGCGAGCACCAGCTGCATGCGCGGGTATCTGAGGTTATAGTACAAGATCTGGCTATTTGAATTGCAGGAGTCTGTTTTTCCATAAAACTTAATTTTCCTTAATGATAAATAATAGTACAACATTTGCCAGACAACTCTGCTGTGAACTATTCTATTATATATCATTCATAAAAAATAAAGCACCTGCAGATTCAAGCGGCCGGATCGTAGACTATTAGGAAAGTGTTCATATGACGGATCTGTCAAAGCACAGCGTTGCCAGATGGGTAGGACAGAATTTTCCCAGAACCAGCACAAATATCCTTCAGAATTGCGTTTAAAAAAATCCATCAAATCACAGTCAATTAATGGAAAGGGGTAGGTGTGGTTCAAAGAGCGAAGGATGCTTGCTATCGGCGAATCGTGTGATTTTTCCAGAACATTATATCCCCATAAGTTCCTCAAATTTGAGGGAAAATCCCCCAATATGGTAACCCTGTCAAAGCAGCGCTGGTACTTCAAGGGTGCGTTCGTTTTAGAACAGTGGGTACCGCGTTCGTATTACAGAACATTGTGCTCGAGGAGCTTGCCTGATATGCTCGGAAGATGATGGTCGAGCATTCATTGTACTCTTTTCTGTCGGTCACAGCACTCCACTTTCCTGTATGACTTTACTGCCCTGAAACCTGTTCTAATGTTGTATGGGTTTATCATGCTACATAACCTCAAGGGAGAAGCAGTTGTTCTTAAATCATTTACAAAATACGGCTCAGGATAGGTTACTTGTTACGTCTTACGTCGTCAGTCCCATATAATTATATCTGTCGCGATCGGGATAAGTCGAGCGTTGACGTATGACAAACTATTCCCGCGGGGTTATTACGTAAACAACCCATGTAATGTAAAAAAGCGATTAAATGTCAACTTGTTGACTAGGTAGGCTGGTGCGTAAATAGTCCATTCCGCGCTTGCGATAAGTGAGCATAAAGTGAACGACAGCTAGTTCCAAGTTGACGTCTTGTAGGTAAACATACGTAAAATCATATAGACCCTACATAATGTAAAAAAAAACGAGATGTCACTTTTCAAGTTACGTAATACCCCTGCCGATCACCGCACTGTTCAAACGATCGGGAATGAAGCCGGTGCCTAATTTCGGGGACCATTTTACAGCATGAACGGCAATGCCGTTGCTCCTCCTGGTATATAGGTTCCATGTTTATCCAGTTTGGGAAAATCATTCTGATCTGTGTCATTTTTGACAGCGATGTTTCCAAATAAAAACAAAATGGTGCCATGTATAATATTATAGCGTTCTATTACAACCTGATTAATTTGAGAAATATCGAGCATAGCTCAAATTCTTCTTCTAACTCACCTGCCGCTGGATGTTTTAAAAAATATCTTGTACGTAGTGTTTTGATATAATTTTATAATAGTATATATATCTTTCCCTACTTCCAACGAAACGTATATCATAATATATTCTCTTGAATGCGAATGTATCTACAGTTATATGGCTATATTTAAATATCTTAACTTTAAGATAAATACATTTTATGTGCAAATTGTACTAATGATGCACAAGACATTGATTAAAATATCAACTATATCCGCAAAATGCTTGAAATATCCTCAAAAGGCTTTTACTGAAACACACATTTTCATTCAAAGACAAAGATAAAAACTCAAAAGTGACATATTCACATTTTCAGTAATTTTGGATAACATGAAGTACAACCAACTGAAGTTTTTTTACACCAGAAAATGAGTACAAAAAATAATTTGTTGCATTTGGCTTGACAATATCTGCAAATGGAAATGTCTATTTCATGTTATATTTTATGTATAAATGGTGTGACAAAGGAGCGAAGAATAATTTAAATTTATCTATTTACTTATCTAGAATAAATACGAGTCTGGTATGATGATTCAAGTGTTCGTCAAAAAGAATCTGGAATATACAGTTGTGACTTACAAATCAACCGCAAGTATTATTGTTACTGCTATGCTATACCGTTTCAAAATGAGTGATAGTAAATATTTGTGAGGAATTTGAACCAAAACAAATGTATATGTTCAAGTAAAAAAAAAAGATGTTTGTTCGGTTGCTTTTAATCATTGTGTGATGAACTTGCAGGTTTCATCATAGTCTGTAGGTAATACGAGTGCATTTGGCTAGCTTTGGTAGATATTTTACCAACTGATATTTCTAAATCACGAATCACGATTGTTACCAAATACTGTGAAAAAGCGTGATATGACAACTTTACAGCAACGGCGATGGGTATCACAGGATCACAGAGCTAGAGAAATATCTGAAACTTAACATGTGGTTTACATGCCGATAATCCCCCATTCTCGCCTGGGCCATAGAATCTTTTATACTGTAAACATTTCAATCTCAAAGGTGATCTTTTTCAGTACAATGACAATTTATTTTATTTATGTCTTCCAGGTGACAGTTCATTTGCTTTTTCTTTTCACTATCACATTGCTATACAGTGTTTTACTACAATGGACTGAAAGTCCTGTAACATGCTAAAACTGCGCCAAGCCCTCATTCCGAATTTTAAGATGGCACCACGCAATTCAAGCGTAGCCCAGGACCGCCTGGGTTAGGCAAAAGGACGACCAGCCCTTCAAAACGACAAGCGAGATGAAGCTATCTGTCGTTTTTTGATGTACTAGATACGTCATCCTCGTCCATCGTCTCAAAACCGCCAAAAGCCCTCCACGCGCTTCAGATCCAAAACAATGCACTTGCAACATTTTAGTCGAAGATTGCATAACAATTAACAATTAGGGTGACGCGTCTGGTACATTAAAAAACGACAGATAGCCTCATGCTCGCTTGTATTTTTCTACGGATTCATGTCCTTTTTTGGGGAACGGGAATACTCATGCCAGGCGGACCTAGGCTATCCTGGTTTTGCGAAATTCGGAGTGACTTCGTGAAATCTCAGCATACTACGGGACTTTCAGACTATTAGTAGTAGTAGCACACTGTATAGGAACGTGATAGAAAAAAAAACAAACAAACTGTCACCTGGAAGACAGTTAAATAAAATATATTGTCATTGTATTGAAGATCACATTTGTGACTGAAAGGTTTACAGTAAAGAGGATTCTCTAATTTTATGGCCAGGAAGCTATACCTTGCCATATAGGTCTTGGTAGTTTGAGCTATGCGATTTTATCGCTGTATTTTGCTCAGAATACCAGTAAATCGGTATAACCAAAACCCCTCTTCTTCTTCTTTAGATTACTATTAGCTCGTGACGATTCAGTTAGCCACCCCAACTACAAATTACTCTCAATAAGCACGTGCACGTGTAAGATCAATTATGAATCAAAGTCAAATTCCACTAAAAATATTCTCACTGCACACGATCTGATAATATAATACACAAAACCTTAAAAAATATCGAACGAGGTTAGAAATAATTATGGCTATACATCTCACTGCACCTGCGTCGGTTACGATGCCCATCATTATTCGAAAGTCGTGATCACGTCACGCTTTTAAATCACTGATATAAAAAAGTATCGGTATCACATATAAATATTTAAATATAACGTTAGTGGCCATCTCTACCTGCAGCGGCAATATAAAACGGTTAGCCCAAGAAAAATGACAACCACCAAGTCATTATACCACACCCATCCAAGCGCTCTGCTGCCCCAATGGCACACCGATAATCTCACTCTATCTGTGACCGCCCCCGCCGGATAAAGGCGTTTCCTTCTAGTTCAAAAGGAAGCAACCGGTGTTCTGCCGCCCCATCTCACTGCCTGCCGCTAAACCCGCCTACAGACAAATGCTCTAACTCAAAGGACGGCAAAAGATTTTCTGCAAAAGATAGCCCTGGATGATTGCCGCCTGCGTTGGCCGCGTATCACTGTTCGCCGTCCCCGTTGCACAGCTCACAGTCTTCCAAAGGAGGTGGAAGAGGTAGAAAAAGCGGGTGCGGTTTATGGACAACGGAGGGGTATGATAATGCTCCATTTCAAAGGACCCAAAATAGATTTCTGCAACTGTCCCGGATGTCTGCCGCCCTCGTTAACTGCGTACCACTGTGCCCTGCCCCTAGAGCATAGCTCCACGACTTCTAAAGTTGGAGGAAAATGCAAGGGCGGTTTGCGGTATGACAATGGAGGGGGCGGCACGATATGCTATAGAAAGGCTAAAGTTTAGTTCAAAGGAAGGCAAAAGATATTCTGCAAAATAGACTTCTGCGACTGCCCTGGATGTCTGCCGCCCCCGTTGACCGCATACCATTGTTCACCGCCCCCACTGTACAATTCGCCGTCTTCCAGGGGTGGAGGAGGCGGTGGAAACGGCGGGGGCGGTTTGCGATAGGGCAATGGAGGAGGCGGCACGATAATACCCCCACCACCCACTAGGTTGGCAGGGTGAAGAGCGCATCGCTCGTCGTGTCACACGCAGTCTTCCAATGACATCAGTAACGGGTTCACGTACTCGAAGCCTTCGAATTCTGATTGGTCGATCTTCTCTATCACACGCCTGAAAAAAAAAACAGGTTTAATCCCATGCGTAAATACTATGTCATATTGACGAATGTATACAAAGTGTTAAAAAAGTTTCCAAAAGCCCTATTTCAAAAATACTGTTCAAATAAATCGTCAAGACAAAAGCTGATAATGACCTTCAAAGTCTTTTAGTCAGGCTGATAGACCTAAACAGTGAAACAATGGCGGTTCGTTGAGGAAGGGAGGTTAAAAATTTTTATTTCACAGTATTCTGTAACAGCATCACAAGCTGTCATCGATGTCAGAAAGATTTTTATTTGATAGCCGGATCTATTTAGCATTTTGATGATAGAACTGAGGCGATCAAGTTGTGCAAAATATATCAACAAACAATGTAAAAGTACAGGGTGCGCCATCTTTTATGACAGTATGTAAACATGAAAATGAAAAACTGATTTCTATATATCGGGTATTTTTATTAAATATGGTCCTTTACAATTTCCCCGCAAGAAGAAGTGCGGTGGGGTCAAATCTGGAGACCTGGGTGGCCCGTCAATGTCACCTCTTTTTGACATCAGACGCCCAGGGAATTTTCGTTGCAGAAACTGGATTGTTTCATTTGCAGTGTGGCATGTCGCACCGTCTTGTTGAAACCAGTAACTATCAGGACCTTGTTCACGCATTTGTGGGCAGACATAATGAGCCAACATTTTTGTTGAAGAAAAATGGCCCAATGATGATGGTTTTGGCGCAAACGCCGGCTCAAACAGTCACTTTCCGGTCATGCGACGGCATTTCGTGGATCTCAAGTGGATTTTCCGTCCTCCAGAGAGCGTGAAATGGGCCTCGTCGGTCATTACAAGTTGCTTCCAAAAATCAGGTTCAGCATCAACCATGCGAGCGTATTCGAAGCGACGTGGACGGTCAGTTAGCAATATTTTTTGTGTTAACTGCACCTTATAAGGAAACAAATGCAAATCATCCTTCAAAATGCGCCACAACTGATGCCAAAATACTCAGCGCGGTGACGATACGATACTTTTGGATTCTGGGCGCGTTGCCTCTGACCGGTTCAACCAATTCATTGGAACGCCTTGGTCGTTGATGAACGGTATCTTGACGATCTCCCACTGTCCCGTACTCAAGAAAATTCGAAACCCAACGACATATAGTGTTGTCAGCCGGTGTCGGTAAGCTACGATATTTTCGACGATATGTACGTTGCGTTAACACCACCGAACGACGATTTTCAATGTACATTGTGACTATTTCGGCGCGTTGTTCCGGTGTAAAGCGATTCATGACTAAAATTGTAGTAAATTAACGTTTCAGAAACACGTATAACAAAAAATCACTCGGTTGGTAAATATCAAAGTCATTCGATGTTTCAACACCGACATAAAAGATGGCGCACCCGTTATGTGAATATTTTCAATGATCCTTTTAAATTTGTTTAGTACCTCGATCAAATGCGTCTTCTCCTAGCTAAGCTTCTTTTTTCATAGTCACACATTATAATTTATAATATATAATTTGAGTATAAAATGTTTTTTTTAGTGAAATACATTAGTAGTAGAATCTTCTCTGTAATTGCACTGCAATTATTCGAGGAAGCAAACACATTATTATACACTGTTTATTGATATTTAGCACAAATAAAACAAACCGTTCGAATTTTATCATCAAAATAGTAAATAGATACGGCCAGCAAAGAAATGTCTTTCTGACATCGACGACAGCTGCTGATGACCCCTGTTGCAGCATACTGTGAAATAAAAATTTGAATCCTCCCTTGAACGTTCCTCAAGGAAGCGGCATTGTTTCACTGTTTCCAAGGACATATCTAATATCCACAGTTTCCAAGGAAGCCTCAAGGAAGGTCTATAAAGCTGACACTTAGAGGTCAACTCGAAAAATTTAAATAATTAATAAATAAAAAATTTTACCTACCTATGGAAAAAAAGCGAAAAATTTTACGTTCGCGAATGACCTTGACCATGATACTGACTTCGACATTCTTGAATATCTTAAATGGAGCCACGTCTTCTTAATCTGAGCGTGGGAATAGTGGGAAACTTTATGTTGTGAAACGACCTTGACCATAACCTTAAAGTGATTTAGAGGTTAACTAAATCCAAGGTCAAAGCCACATACTAAGCAAGTTTTCCGTCCTGCCATAAATTACAATTCCATTTTAAATCTTTAACTTGAACTTTCAATGACCATGAAAATGAACGTAATGTCAAGGTCACTTACGAATGTGAAATTTCCTTCTCCTCTGATCTGCGGGTTCAAAAACATATCATTCATTATCATAATGTTTAATTTGGCATCTGAATGAATTTGAACGTCAACGTCATCGCGTGGCATCAAAAAGTTCTATTTAAACTTTTCTAGTTTAACTCTAAATGACCTTTGAGGTCAATATCAAGGTCATGATCAAACTTATCCATTAGAATTTTTTCTCAAAACCTTCAAAAAACTTCCCTGGTCATTTTTTTTATTTGATCAGTATTTGTATGAGATGGAGAGATCGATTGATATCGACGGACTAGTTGGAACACTTTATGGTTTCACTGTGTTGTGAAACATACCAAAATAATGAGAAAAATGAGCATTTAAGGAGACAAAGAATGAGTGCAAAAAAGTGAAAAAAAATAGGAGTTAGAAAAAAGACGTGACGTTAAACAATCTTATAACAAACTCTACATGCGCGGTGTTAACGATGCGCTATTTAGACGCGATGTTTAGGCAACAAATACGATGATGCTGTTGCTTGACACCTTAACGACCGCGTGAAACTCTCTATTAATAATTTTTTCATCATGGCAGGAACATATGCGTTTTCATATACTAAACATATACTATTGTGTATTTTGTACATGTTACAGTAGAATGAAAGTGTACAGTGAATACTTACGGATCATCAGGGGTGAGGTGTACTGGCTCGTCTGTGAATTCTGGCGGGAAGTTTGCTAGATCTCGATCTGAGTCTAGCCGAGGCTTGTATGGTGGAGGGACCTGCTTCTGCTCCAGCTAAAAAAAAGCTTATTACTTTATAGTTTGACTTTTTTTATTTTGTTTATTTACGAATAACCATACACCACACTAGTGCAATAACTTTCTCTAAAATGCATTATTAAAATACTTGAGGAACTCACCATATCCCAGTCAATGCTCTTGAAGAACTGATGTCCGGTAATCTCAATGAAGGATTCAGGACTATGGCAACCCAACCTGTCTGCTGGATTTTTATTAAGGAAACCTTTGAGTACGTTGGCCGCTTTTACGCTCAGCGATCTTGGAATACGGATGGTTTTTTCCAGGATTACCTGGAACAGGTAGTCTTCCGTGTTCTGGTCCGGATTTTCGGAAGCCCCGGCTATGTCAAATGGTGATCGACCCGCCAGCATTTCGTATAACAAAACACCTGGAAATTAAAAATGCTCGCATTTTCTATCCCAAAGCACGTATTTCAATTTTTTACACATTTTAGAGCATAATCGAACAATTTTTAAGCAGCTTAAAAGTACGAAGAACATCTTTTAACATTTCTCCACATTTACATTTTGTTGAAAATTCAAAAATACTTGACTGAATTTTTTACTTAGGGGAATGCATTTATAGTCACTATCTGGCGAGCATCTTGGGTCTACACAGTGTTCCTGACAACATTCTCTCATACCCTGTATAAAACTAAATAAACTAAATTCTCATACCAAAGTGTGAGACTCAACGACTTACCTAACGCCCACCAATCCACGGAGAACCCATAATCTTCTCCTCTCAAAATTTCCGGTGCGATATAGTTGGGCGTTCCGCAGAATGTTGAGGTCGTATCTCCTGACCTAATACCTTCCTTACACATCCCATAATCAGTCAATTTTATGTGACCTTCGTGGTCAAGTAATACATTGTCCAGTTTCAAGTCTCTGTAGATTATGCCCTTGCAGTGCAGGAAGTTTAAAGCTAGGGATATTTCGGCAGCGTAAAATCTGGAAGACAAACTTTCATCAGGTACATCTCAACTGAATAAATGGTTCAAATTGCATAGAATTTGAGAATGCGCGAAGCCAACGATACAATTTTAGGATGGTACCGCGCAAAGCTAGGAAAGCGCAATACCTTCTGGGGTAGGCTCCCAAAGAACATCCAGCCTACTCAAAACAACAATCGTGAATGAGGTTATTTGTTTTTTTGGGTGTACCAGACACGTTACCCTCGCTCATCGTCCCGAAAACGCCAACGACCTCGAGATCGGGAAATCCCATCCTGTTATGCAATCTTCGTCTACCGATTCTGCATCTGTATTGTTCATGGATCCAAAATGTGAGAAATATTACGTAATACAGAAATGTTTAGGCAGTTATTGCAATATACTGTATTGTACAAAAAAAAAAACAAATGAACTGTCTACTGGAAGGCATTTAAAAAATATGCAGGGTATATAAAAAGTATGGAAAGGATAAAATATCCCTAGAAGTTCGTTTCATAAAGCAAAATGTAACAGAACAAAGTTGTAAGGCTTGAATGTGAACTTGACAATGATCTTTAAGATCACCTGAAGGTCAAGACAGTTTTTTCAAACGGCAGCGCAAATGTAAAGAGCAGATGATTTTATGTTCATTTTGTACATGATCTTGACTATGACCCACCAGGTCATTTTAAGATCAAATTAATTTTTAACGAGAAGCATCCATTTTTAATTTCTGCAATGCAAGTTGGGGACAATTTTATGTGCAAGTATATCCTTGCTAACGGCCAACAAACCTAACCATGACCATAACTGTAATTTCAAGATCAGATAAATTTTCCATTGAATTGACTAGTTTTTGTCGGGAATATAAAATGTGAAACGTTTTACGGTCAAGGTCATTAACATGTTCTGGAACGTCACTTTGGCTATGATATTCAAGGTCATTTGATGATCGAATGCACTTTTTAAGGCGGATCCCCTATACTTGCTTCCAGAAGAGTAATCTCGCCTCTCGCTAAATCCTCGATCACTTCGATCTGCAACATGTTTCTCTAGGTAGCATATTTTTAGAGATATTTTTTCTCTCCATACCTTTTGGACAACCTAAAATGGCATTTACATTTCTTGTATCAAAAATCCGTTTAAGAAAACTGTCCTGACCTTCAAATGACCAGGGGGGGTCATGGTCAAGGTTACGTTGAAGGTCACCATTAGATGACTCGCTTACTATTGAAAATATCCAATTTTCGGACGAATGAAAAGTAAAATAACTTTGCAAAGTTAAGTATTTAAAATTAATAAATTTTTAACAGGAGCAGTCATAACAAAAAAGGTGAACAGTGAACCAACTCAAAAAAATTTGTTTTTCCATAAAGGCCTAAATATTGTTGAATTGATCCTGAATACAAAAATAGCAAGGTAACATTTGTACTTTTCGAAAAAATGGCAGAATGTAAGACAAAAAAGTTTTCAAAGGTACGGCTATTAGTCTATACTACTATCAGAAAATAGATATTACTAGAACTACCTTAAGAGTAATTTCTAGAGATGTGGTTTCATTTGGCCAGAAAAATATGGAGTTCTTTTAGCATGAAAACCACGGGATAAGTTTCGGATGTTATATCAATAAAATTTCTAGTGGTGCTATATCTAAATGCCGAATTAGCTATTGGGGCATCATGGTAAATATGTTTACCTATTTCCATAATATATCAAACGTCATACCTTGCATGTTCTTCAGGCAACCGTCTTTGCCTCTGCATGTGGAACATCAGATCACCTCCTCTGACGAATTCAATAACAAAGAATAACCTAGATGGCGTTTGGAAGCACGAGTGTAGTCCCACTAAGAAAGGATGATTCGAAGCTGTTTCAAAAACATGCTTTTCTGTTTGTACCCAGTCTATGTCTTCGTCATCTGTGACTAAGGCCTTCTTTATTACCTGAAGGCAGAAAAAACAATTTAAATATTGAGTGCTAGTTAAGTAGTAATTGTCCCTCAGTGTCCCTTGGACGTTTGCACGCATTCTTATTGTTACAGTTTTGACAGGTAGGAGCGGCAGGCGAGGTGACAAATATATTCCCCAATTATTGGATACGAGGAGTCCATATTGCCTTAAATAGTCGTAAACTTCAAAGCTTATTTATTTCATTAAATTTTTCAGGGAATAAAGGCGTCCTCATCACACTGAAGACGACTCTTCACAGTTTGAAAGCTTTGACAGATGTGGTCAAAATCAGATACATTGTTTTTTTACTTTGCCAAGAAGTAGTTTTGCTAGACAAAGTCTTTCTTCAATTTTCTGAAATGTTAAAATACTGATTTTTTAATTGTTCTTACCTTCATAGCGTAAATGCGTTTAGTCTTTTTCAGTTCGACCATTAGAACTTTGGCATAAGAACCTCTACCTATCACACGAATTAGTTCAAAGTCGTTAAGGGAATACTGACGTTGAGAGCCCGGCTCCAGGTCATCCAGGGGTTTGTTAGGATCTTCTACGGGGACCGATTCGCCTGTTAACAAATTTAAAATCATTTACCGTGTGTTTCAAAGTTGACTCTTACCAGTGGAACTACGGCAACAGAGATACAAGGTCGATCAAATGGGGGCAAAGTTGCGCATTTAGCTAACTAACAATATCACACTTGGAAAGTTTTGCAATTCAGAATATATCAGAGTAAAATTGAGATTTCCCAGGTTATTCTTATTTTCTCTGACTTTGAGCTGGAATTTCAAAATAAATTGCACATAACTATCGCCAATTTCTCTCCCCTGCAAGGTGGAATAATTAGATTTCCAATACGACGTTTTCGTCTCTTGTTATCAGGGCCGGATTAACCCTGTCAAGGCCAGTAGGCAATGCACTTCTCGAGGCTACTTTCCAAAAAACAACAAACAAATGAAAAGAAATTATTTTTTTATTTTTTTAACCTGCGACAAAAAAGCGGCGTTATAAGTTTGAAGTGTGTATGTCTGTGTGTTTGTGACAACGTAAATCCCAAACGATCGAACCGATTCTAATTTGGTTTTTTAGATGTAATTGAAACAAACCTTACGGAAATCAGTCTTAGGTGAATCGTGCTCAAACTTTGAAAATAAGCTCTCCAGATCATCCTGATAAAAAATTATCATGGGCTTTTAAATCCCATAATGTACAGGGTGTTCGAAGCATGCGAGAAAGGTGTGTTGCTCCTAAATAAAAGCTCATCAAAGAAAACCATTTATGAGTTATTATACATGGTATCCGGAGGCAAATTTCTAAAATACTCACAATTATACAGAGTGTTTCAATTTGCCACAAATCATTTTTTTTAATGGAAGGCTGTCGTTTCTATCACACACCCGGACAGGACCTTTTAGGCCCGGTTTTTCAATCACTGGTTAACTTTCAAGTTTGGTAACTATAACTTGCAAGTTACCTAGCAGTTGTCCGTAAATCTCTGGTTACCTAACAGGTTACGGTTGATCTGGCAACGCTGACTCTACGTCTGATATATCATGTATTGTGGGTTTTGTGATGCTCTATTCACCTGTGTAAACATCCAATATGACGTCCATAAGGGAAAGAAGTTGATGACTGAGACCAAGAGACGAAACGTCATACAGCCATAATCATATCATCTTGTAGAGATGAAAAAGTGGAATTTATTTTGAGATCTGACCTAAAACGAAGTCAGGAAAAAATGAAAACGATTTTGAGAATATTCGTTTTTATATACACCCTCGGAAATATTGCGAATTTCGAAGCTTTCCAAGTGCCATTTTCTTAGTTACCTTGCATTTGCGCAGCTTTGTCATGTTTAACCGACCTCGTATATCTTACCGTTACGGAGAACCCTATAGTGAAGGTCGAATTTGGAAAATCCGGAATGTCGCTAATAGCGTTTTCTTTTAATGAAACTAATGTTGCATATTTTATGTTATTTTGACAAAACCAGAGTACAAGGGATGTCTTTTAAGTTTTGCATATAGAAACATAGTAGGCCGCGCGGATCGAACGTCAGTACTGAATCTCAACCTCACTCTTTAGTAACCTTAAATTCAAAGTTTCATAACAATACGTGCAGTTACTGTTTTCGGTAACGAAGCGCCACATCAGTCGACAATTTCCCGTTGGCATGGAGAATTTAAACGTGGACGGGTGAGTCTTAACGACGATCCCAGGGTGGGTGCACCGAAAACGGCAGTCAGCCAGGAAAACGTCGATGCTGTGCGCAAACTCATCATGAAGATAAGACATGTGACATATCGCAAGATTGAGGCGTCCTTGAAGATCTCAAAGACATCAATTAAAAAAATTTTACATGAAGAATTAGGAGTAAGAAAATTAGTTTCTCGTTGGATACCGCACCTGTTGACTGAAGAGCAGAAAGCAGCCAGGGTTAATTGGTGTCAAAAAACGCTAGACCGTTTCAATTCCGGAAACTCAAAAAATGTGTACAGCATTGTTAGTGGTGATGAATTGTGGATTTACTGTTATGAACCAGAAAATAAACGACAGTCGGCTGTTTGGGTGTTCCAAGGTGAAGAAAAGCCAAAAAAAGTCATCCGTTCTCGAAGTGTTTCGAAGAAGATGGTCGCGACATTTGTGTCAAAAGCGGGTCATATTGCAACAATTTCTCTTAATGAGCAAAGAACTGTTACTGCGGATTGGTATACCACCATTTGTTTGCCAAAAGTCACCGAGCTTAGAAAAATCAACTCCGAAAGAAGAATCATCCTCCACCAAGACAATGCAAGCTCGCACACTGCCCAAAAAACAAGGCAGTATTTAACGGAAGAAAACGTGGAATTATTGGACCATCCTCCATATAGTCCCGATCTACGTCCTAACGATTTCTTTACTTTCCCGAAAATTAAAAACAAACTGCGTGATGAAAGGTTCCAGTCACCAGAAGAAGCAGTTGACGCATTCAAAAATGCCGTTTGGATCTGCCAGCAAACGAGTGGAATAAGTGCTTCGGAAATGGGTCGAGCCCATGCAGATGTGTATTAATCTTCGTGGAGAATACTTCGAAAAACAATAAAGTCATTTAAAACTACCTACCGTGTTGTTTTATTTCCATATGCAAAACTTAAAAGACATCCCTCGTATATGTTCACGTTCTTTTGTTCAGCACTGTGAACTAGTTTTGCACTTGCACCGCCTGAAGGAGGGAAAATTTAGGATGAACGTTTCAAACATGAAAACTGCACCAGCTTTATCAAAAGAAAACGCTGTGAGTGATCAGTTGTTATTTGTTGTCATGTTTTGACGTATTGAGGTATGGTGGCAAAAAGTGTAGCTTTTCAAAAACTCATATCTTTAAAATACAACAAGGCACATATGCATACGCAGTTTACCAAATAAGAACCCCCACAGAAGGCGTAAGCATAATCTTGTGCGTTGTGAAGTTTATATCTAATACATAAATCTAATTAGTAATTTGAGCTAAAATTATAAAATCCATAACACATAACTTTCAATTTACATCTTAATACGTTAGAAAGAATATTTATAAAACAAATGTTTTTGAACATGTTACATTTCAGTAATAGTAAATGTTACACAGATCTATGAATAATATTGGTGTATCTTCACTCTAGGAATTTCAACCATTTCTTTGGTTTACTTTTGAAAAAACCTAATGAACTTTATTTGCTACTCACCAGTGACATCTGGCGGCTGATCCTGGTAATCTCCTAACCCGGGGGGCTCCTGTCCGGCAGCAATTGCGGCTGCCGCTGCTTCGGACAATGGCGTGCTGGCGGACCCCTTTGCATCACCGTTTCTTTCGTCACCGGTCACTGGGTGGGCGCCCATGGGACCACCAATTGGGGGCTCCTGGTGCTCGCCGGCGCATGGCTTGTTCACTGCCTTGTGGCATTTCTTGTGTACCAGGAGCTTGCATTGGATGCACTTGAAGCCCTGCCGGCCCAGTCCCCAGATGCGGTCGTTGCAATACGCGCAGAAGGCACGCTGAAAACGAGTACATTGTTAAACAAAAATGTCGTCAAGTAGGTTGACTCTGCACTTCATATGCAACGCTGTCATCAGTTGAAAAAGAATTACGTTCGGCACTAGCGTGCTCCTCTGAGCTAGCTACAAACATGCGTAACAAAAATTGAATGGATCAAGTCAGCCAAACAGGCCCAACGCCGGCGATGTAGTTTTGTAGTTAACGATAAATCGCTGCAACGGTGACGCACAGATGGGGGAAGGTACAACGATGATAGATGGATAGTATCTACCGGTACAGCAGGGAAATAATGTATATGGAATAATTGTATGAGCCTGTTTGACTGTCTTGATCCATATAATTTCACTCTTGTACATGTTCATAATGAATCTTTTCGCAGAATTTAAATTTCCTCGAACTTAAACACCTCTATGAACTGATGACGACGTTGCGCTTTTTTTTAATTTACTCATGTGTGTATCAGTAATCACCACGAAGTATGAGGTACCGTTTTTATTTGAACTATGTTTTAATCTGGTGAATATACAAGAATTTATGAGCCATAGTGTATACCGGCAACACGCCAGCATTATTTTAGACCTAATTAACATTGTATCAAAGTTTATATGTGTAAGTAGATTATTATTAAACACTCCAGAGGCAGGCATGTTGGAATATCTTTCGTACAATCTCAGGTGCTGTATTTAGAGCATAATGGAGGTATTTGCGTGCGAGGTTCCCTTAGGTCGTCGATCAACAAGTTCCGTGCGCCGTGCGGTTTACTTGGGACAAATTGGTTCAAGGTTTTTTGTTTGAGTTGGGTCACGGGAGAAATATGAAAATCGATTAGATAAAATATTCTGTTGTCTCCTTGAAATATGATTAGAAAATCTGTGAAAATTATAACAAAAATCACCCCTTTACAAGCAAAGATCACCTGTAAACTGATTTATATAAAATAAAGATTTCAAATGGATGGTATTGTATGAAGATGAAAAATGGTTCTGTATATTTTAAGTTTTAATGCAGCATAAATCAATCATTTTCTTATAGAAGAGATATAACCCAAAAATAATTGATCACTCATGGATATATTTCGAAGTGGAAAATATTGTTCAATGAAAATAAAATGAAAGAAATTACAGTGACTGATTTCACAAAGTTACGAGAAAAACTTTTACAATACAATATGCCTGAAATTATCAATAATGCCGACAACTATTTCAAACAGATTATGGATAATATGGATAAATAAATGAGAGAAGCTATGGTCAAGAAAATAGTATATTAAAGAGAAAACCCAACACCCTGGTTTTCACATATATTCAAGGAGTCTAAATTAAAACGCGATGACGGCTACAGAAAATTTTCAGTAACCCAAAGTGACAATGATTGGAAACAATATACAAAATCAAGGAGGGGAAAAGAAAAAATACTATAATAAGATCGATAGCAATAAACATAACACTGGTGAACAAAATCAAAATAATTTTTTGTGACATGGACAAAACAAGGTGGTTATATATATATATATATATATAATATAAGGATATGTATGTAAGACTACTAATAAACACTCGAATAAACATTAATCTCAGCATGTTGTTGTCGATGTTTTAGGGCTATATGTTGCTCCTGAAGTATCTCTTAACAATGTCCAGCAATAATCAGTAAGCAAATTGACACTCCATTTGCCTTGATACCGTTTATCCATAGCAGAAATGTCTTGGTGGAACCGTTCACCATGTTCATCACTTACCGCACCTAAATTTTCCGGAAAAAAATCCAGACGAGAATCCAAAAAGTGAATTTTTAAAGACATGTTACATCCCATTCCTTTATAAGCATTAATTAGTTCACTGACAATATCTTTATAATTGTTCGCCTGTACATTGCCTAAAAAATTTGCAGTTACTGATTTAAAAGCATTCCAAGCTCGTAATTCAGTTTCATTTAGAGCACTTTCAAATACATCATCCTTCATGATTTTCCGTATTTGTGAACCCACAAATATGCCCTCTTTAATTTTTGCCTCACTAAGTCTCGGAAATGTTTGTTTTAAATGGAGAAACCCTCTTCCAATTCGATCCATGGCTTTCTCAAAATTTTTAATTTTTAACCAACCTGTTAACAACGTTACACAAGTCTTACGACATACATCATAGTTTATCTTGGCCGCCAACTTTAATTCCAAAATAAAGTTCGCACGCTTTCAACACGAAGGGGAGTAAAAGTACGTTTTTGGGATTTAAAAGTTAGCTTTCCGCACACATAACAAAAACTGTTCGCACTATTTACACAATTTCTAGGCATTGTCCATAGAGCTAGTCTCGATCACCATAAACTAAAAACAACCAACCATTTTAACAAAAATTAACAGTACTCAGAACATCTCAGTACTCCTTAAAACGTAACTGACTCGGCTGCTATTATTCTACTAATAAACGCAATATTCTCTCTAAACATAGAGCTCGAATATAATAAACAGGAATAGACAGGTCTTAACATTATATATGTGCGCCATCGCATAATCGCCAAGAAATGAAGCAATAGATGTTACGTATTGTAATTCATAAAAGTAGTTGTTACCGAATATCTGTGGGTGATAGAAAAATTCTGTTTTTAGGTTTGATTTAAGGGTCTCAAAATACATAAGATACACCCAAAAATTGTCATGTCACAAATCGTAATGCTAAAATGAAAGAATCTTGTTTCTCTAAATAGAAAGACTTAATTACCTAAAATGCATTTCGAAGATGGGGTGCTGACAAAAAAAAAATAATTATAGCAGAAAGAATAAGCACTTATTTTATAGACAGTATAAATCAAATAGTGAAGACGATTGATGACGGTGATCCTAACTTATGTTCATTACAAGTATATCGTAATTCAACAATGAATGAATTTAGGACAACAAACATCAACAATCTAAGAAAAGTTATATCAGAATTCTAACAAGTGAGAATCTCTCAAAAAAGATTGAAGTAGTCGAATAATTTAAATATCTGGGTATATATGTGAATAGAAAACTACTGATTCACGAGCATCATGAATACATTATTTCAAAAATATCAAAAAGGATAAATTACTTCTAGAGTTTCACATACTTTTGATTTCTTTGTTTAAGATTTATTTAGCATGATTGCTACAATCACATTCTTTTAAAAAACAAAACAATTACATAACATACAGATATTTAGAAAAAACAAAATTTGCATCTCTAAAAATTTTCACTGTCCATGAGATATTCCTTTAAATTTCTTTTGAACATCTTTAAAATACAAGTAGACTTCATATCATTATTTAGTTTATTAAATTCAAGTAACCTTTTCTGAAATACTGATTTATTAGTTATATTACTATTGCAATTTTGTAAATGAAAATTGAAGAACTGTTTTCAACTAAGGTTTACACTGTTTTATATTGAAATATTCACCGATTTTCGTCCTTAAAATTATAAAATTTTCGCCGCGTAGGCGTTCGGATTAACCGGATGTTCGGATTAGCGGGACTTTACTGTACATATTTTTATTCAATATTATTCTCATAGCGCTATTTTGCAGGACTTGTAATTTTTAGAAAACAGCTTTATTGACAGTGAACAAGATAGTTGAACACTATAGTAAATGCTGTAGAATAATTGTAGTATAAACTATTTTTTTCGAGTATGTACCAATACTATGAAGAGCTCTTTGAAAGTAATTTGTTTTTTTTGCCAATTTTTTAAAAAAAATTTAAATAATTCATAGCGATTCTCAAACGTTAGTTTACTATAAATATATATACATAAATGTTTAATTGATTCTACATTTTCAATCATTTCACCATTTATCCTGACTGTGATAGTATTTTCATTTAGGTATTTCCCTATTAGCATACATTTTGTTTTAGAAGTATTTAATTCTAGTTTATTTACATTCAACCAATTTATGATTTTTGTCAAGTCAGAATTTAGCATTTTTCGAGCAGTGTCTATATTTTCATCTGGTATGTATATTATTAATGTATCATCTGCAAATATCTGAATTTTACAATAATCTAAAATATTACAAATGTCATTAATGTATAAAATGGATAGTAGTGAACCTACCTTGTGGAACACAAACAGAAATATTTTTTGACCTTGATAATGTAGATCTAATTTTGTCTTTTTGACTTTTGTCAATTAAGTAATTTTGTAAGTAATTTATCTCTGTCAATAGACTCAAATGCCCTTTTGGAGTCCAAAAACACTGTTTGTCCATACATCTCCTCCAGTCTTCCAAAATCATTCGTATTGCCGTTTCAGTTGAGTGTTTCTTCACTAACATCAAATAATGTAAAACCACATCTTTTTTATATAGAAATCCCTGAATATTTATATGGTAAATGTAGTTTGCATATTTTAGTAGTATACTTTGGCTTGTGTTTTTCTGTGTTCCATTTGTACTATGTTGCAAATTTTAGTCGAAATTTGGTTTATATTTTGAATTAGATTCTTGATAATTTGGACAAGTTCCTTCATTTTCGGGTATTCCACAGTTCTGGGGTTGATGTCCACTTCCACCACATTTCAAGCAAATACCATTCTTGGAGCAATTCTTTGCTGTATGATGGAAACCAGCACAATTGAAACGTCTTACGAGATTATACTGTTGAAAAATTGTACATACATCCATAGATATAAAAAGTACACCTTCTTTCATAACTTCACTAAATGTAGTCTCATCTAGTTCCAACATAGCCTGATATCGTTGTTTCAATTTTTTTAATCATCACCACTCTTATTATTGAATTTGTATGTATTCCAAAAGAATTGTGTATAACACTATAATTATTCTCCATTTTTTATAATGTTCAACCATCTTGTTTAAAGCAAATAAAAACATTTTCAAAATTACAAATTCTACAAAATAAAGCTATGAGAATAATTTTAAATAAAAAAAAAATATGCTAGGTTTAAGTCTATGTTAGAAAAAGTCGTTGAATGTTATTTAGTTCTCATTTTCATATTCAAATTAAAAAATCATTTATTACCACCACATTGAGAAAACTTCACAAAATTAAATAGTCATTATTATAACTAAACTAGAGGCAGTATAGATTTTCATCTACAAAATTGTAATAGTAGATTATTAACTCGCAAATCTGTATTTCAAAAGGGAGTATTTTATTTAATAAATTGAATGTTTGTATTTAAAAATGTTCAAGGTGAAATTAAAAAATCGCTTTATGAATACTCAAATTGCATAGTGATGTAATTTTAATAGACCAAAATGTAAAATTACGGAAAATCGATTAAAAAAATGTGTTAACGCATAATTATACAAAACTGACATTGAGATACTTACCCTGTTGAACCGTTTTGCTTGGAAAATGTGTCCATTAACCCTATATAACTTCCTCCATCGCCTCGCTCCTCTTCGATAGATGCTTCCTGAAGAAAATAAATATAAAAATAAATGTGCGAAAACAGTGGTTTAGAATATTTTACTGACGAGGCAGTTTAAACGCCAGTGATTTCTGAATTTTTTCTGTTTGTTCATGGAGTCTATTTAATTTCAAGTAGTGAACCAAGAAAGTATTTCTAATAATCATATTTCAAAAATATCGCTAAATATCAACAAGGCCAGCCAATTCGTGTAACAATGCTTCAGTATTTTGCCTGTTTTGCAGATAGATGGAGATGCAGTCTTACCATTTCGAGACATATACCAAAATTTAAAATTATTAGTGTTATTCACATTTAACAATATTCAAGCAAACCCATCTACGACTAACGAAAATTAATAAAAATATTGACAAAGGAATCTTGTAGTTTTTAAACAAACAATGGGTGTAAAATGCAAATTATATGAATATTGTTATTCAAAGTTCTCTTTAGAGGTCAGCGAATAATGCTTACATTTAGCAAAAAGGGGGTATGAAAATGAGTAAATTTGAGTTTATAAAATTTTTAATATATAATATAAAATATCCCCACGTTTTGAAAATAGTATGAATCAAAAGTCACTCCGAAATATGAAATTCCACTTTTATTCAAAAACAGACAAATATCCCCACGTTTTGAAAATAGTATGAATCAAAAGTCACTCCGAAATATCAAATTACACTTTATTTCAAATTTTTTTAATGGTTTTTAAGTTTCACTGAAATACGTCAAGGCTCAACCTGGGCTTTTTATCGAATTTTTATTACTAGGAGAAACATTTGAAATACTGTTGAAACACACATTGCGAGGCCTGAAGAAACGATTGAGGTATGGATATCTTGAAATTCGCAGTTTCTCTAATTTTCTTTACTTGATAAATGAAACTGTTGTGACCAGAAAATTCTACCACAAAAAACCTAAAATGCTACTTTACGGCAGTACGGTCAGTCGCACCTACAATATTGTAGGACGCCTTTATGGCTTCCTTGATTTTCATATGTTTCTGCTGTTCCGTGTCAGCGCTCTACTTTGAGGTTATGTAACAAATATCTATTTGCATCAAATTTTTAATGCTTTTGATTTATATCATGTTTTATCAGCCTGAAATTTGCTACAATTCAAAACGAAAACATAACTTCACAATAGGAGAGCGCTGAATACGGAATAGTAGAAATCTAGAAACATTCTAGCCTTTTTGAAGGATAGAAAAATATTGTGGGAACGACTGACGATACGACCTTTAGTGCCATTTTTTTGTTCTGTGATTGACATTGCCGTTTGCCGTATGAATAGGTTCGACACAAAATATACAGAGGTACGACAATCTATGCACTTTTTTGGCATTAATTAATGATTAAATGTTTAGCTGTACCGTAATTGTCTAGAAAGAAAATATGTCATTGTTTACATATAAATAAGCGTTCCAACGCGTAGCAGATGTCTTTATTTTAGAATTTCGTCCCTCTTGAGCCGCTAGTGCATTTGAGGTTATGTGGGGCTGTGAAGTTGGATTTTCTCCGGAATTCAATGTATATACATTATTTCATTGAAATCATTTATATCTACCGAATAATACCATTAGTGTATTTATTTTACTTTAAATATTTTCATTTAGTGTCTACCGAGTAGCTCAAAATGCTGACTGCTTTTATCAACACCTGATCAGAACTATTAAAAAATCAAAATATATGAACATTGTTGTCATCCGTACATCTGTCGCTTTTTCATACAGCACAGTGTATGTATCAACAGTTTTTGAAATTTTTTTCTAGTAATAAAAATTCGATAAAACCCGGGTGCCCCATGCGAATTGTTGAACCAAAGGTGTTCAAGAAGGATCAGTCTTAAATACTTTCCGTTCTGGTAATTTTACAATTGTACGAATCTCGATCTCGTAAACCAAAAAAAAAAAAAAAAATACAAAAAACCCAAAAACAAAACATACCGAATTTTTCCTTCTGCGTATGCGTACAGAACAATAGACACTTAAGGCACTTGACGACCTGTTTGACCGTCATAGTGACGGTTTTATCACCATGCCTGACATCACAAACTCAACCGTACATCCAGGAGCGCACGAAAAAATAAAAATCGATCTAATAGGCAATTTATTGTCCTGTTGCTGCAGGACAAACGAATATCGATATGTTCGTCGCAAAGCAGGCTGTGAGCACGACAGAGTCGGACGAGGTGGTATGCGAAAAAACCTAGTCCGGCCTCGGTTGGCCGAAAAAAGAACAGCAGGGCAACGCGAAGACTGTCGGAGGCACTGGCGTATCAAGAAGGGGCTTGGAATTTCTGGTTTATCCATAACAACATATTATCAAATATCAGCACAAAAACCAATGTTCATTTTAGATAGAGAGTTAGGCGCTTTTTGAACGCACTTCAATAGGCACTGGAGATATTGTAATCGAGATAAAGTTCGAAATCGAGATGTATGTTTTTGATATGACACGGGAATCCCAAAACATCTAACGTCAAACTGTTTAGAGTTTGTTTAGTAACTTGGAGAGAGATGCTTAGATTTTGATGGACTTCAAAAACCAGGTTATCACCATGCCAAGGACGAGGAAGCCTTAAAAGTTTTGAAAGCTATTCTTTAGCGGAGGAATGTGGTTTATATTTCTGATCATTATATTTTCGGAAGAGGCAACGTTTTGGAAAAACGGAAACTTCGATTTATTAAGCGTTTTCAACTTTCTGGTCAGTTTGTGGCACAGTCAAAAGTCACTAGAATCTAGTTTTTAGAATTCACGCTTGTCTCAAACTTGATTTTTTGAAATCAATCCAGTGGCGGTGAAGTAATAAACAAGAAATGAAAAAATCAGAACGTTTTAAGCGTCGTTTTTCGACTTATTGATCATTTTTCTTTTTTCTGAACAGGAATTTGAAAAAATCAATACATCGTTTTCGGCGTATTTAGCAATTCAACTTTTTTTTAACAATCAATAAGATTTCTGGGATGAATGAATTTGAAATCAAGCAATGCAATATTTCACTTTTGAAAATCGGTCCAGTGCCGGCGAAATGATAATCGGAAACCAAATCTTTCCAATAGACGTTTTTCGAGTTTCTGAAAATTTTTGTTCGTTTTCAAAAAATGTTCTAGATGGGTATGGTTTTTTAAACACCAGAAAGCCTGAATACATTTATATTCAATACGAGTCAGTCTGCTTCACTTATTTTTTTTTTCATTTCGTTGTTTATTCTCGTTGGCCTACTACCGGGAATATTTTGGAACACAAACTTGTTAATCTAAATAATTTTTATTAACTGCCCATTTAATATTGCGAATAGTATACTAACGATTCATCCATCGAATAGCATTGAATATATGTATGTGCCTGTTACTAGTCCTTCACTGTTCAGGCGTGCATATTAACACATTCACGTGCAAACGAGCGACATGGTTATTTATACAACCAACGCGGAAAATGCAGTCTCTGTCCTGAAAAATTCTGGTATTCAGACATAGGCGGATAAAAATGAGGACAAACTGGAAAAGTGGCACAAAATATCTTTCTCAAATTAGAAAAAAAAACAAATTTCGGTCGGCCTACCGGTATATCATCTGCCAGGTAGCTCTAGACCTCTCGTGTAATTCCAAAACTACTATTTCTGAAATACAATATACACACAATACAATACAAATTAGATTTATTAAAATGGAAAAACAATTTTTCGAGAGACCATCTTTTTACACCGAAGCAGCCGCGCAGGCAGAAGTCTAAATGACAGGGAACCGCGACTGCTATGAGGATCCCAAAGAAACTTTGTTAATCCGATTTTTGAACTGCCTATTTTCGCGAAAAAAGTATCAATATTTCTAATTTTGGTACTGGTAAACCGATTTTTATGAGCCATACAGAAAGCTAAAGAAATCTCTTTAAAAAATTGTATCAGAAATTGACAAATGTCAAAAATAAAAGGTCTTTACAAAATTTTAGCACATATTCCTGAGTTCAAAAATAATCCGATTTGAAGTAACTTACATTAGTCCAAAATTAATCCGATTCCGAGATACAGCATGGTAAAGTTAGAAAGTCAAACACCTTTTTTTTAATGAATGAACATTTTTCTTAACGTATTATTTCAAAAATTGGAATCCGGGGTTTTTTTAGGATGCGAAACCCGAATATGGACATCTTTTCATTGTTGCCGTTAGAGAGCGCTTCACACAGCACTTCGGATCGTTTTTTACATGGCCATAACTTTTTTCTCAGTGGAGTTTTTTACGTTTTTTGTATTAAAATGCAGGTTGTGAGGACCCTAAATCAAAATGCTCAGAACTGAGTATGTGATAGATCTCTTCAAAATGAACAGTTTTTTTCCTATAATAAAGAAGTGAACCAAATTTAGTGAAAATAGCTGTTCATTAATGTTTTTGTGGAGTAAAAAATATAACTTTATTACCAAATAGGAAAATAATGGACAAAATCAGCAAAAAGTGGATTCGAGCAGAAAATAGGATAAATAACCCGAGCGATAAGTATTTCTGCTGGATGGCTACTCAATATCAGTGAAATATCTGAAGCGGTTATGAAAATTAATCAATTAATTTCCATTTTTTTCCCTAAAACTTCAACACCCCGAGTTTTTGTAAGTAAATATTTTTGGACCATAGTTTATAAAGCAAACTAACATTAATTTTTCATGTAGATTCACACCCTTAATATTCGCATATCAAGGAACACCCTGTATAATATATATATATATGTATATATATATATATATATATATACTCGTTCAGACTAAAACAATCAGTATGTAATTTTCAACCTCATTTATTGCTGATTTTCGTTTTCTAGCTCTCCTGTAAAATTTGTAATATGTTAGTTACGCCGGTACGTGCGGAGACCGACGATATATATAAGCGTTTTTCGGCTTGTCACTCTGATTTCCGGGATGTAGAGTACAGAAAAGCTGTGGATTGGATTGACCGTACAGGTAAGGAGGTCGTTGATATGTAAGGGGACAGTGTCGGAGCCAAGACTGATCCCTGAGGAAACCCGGGTTGACGTTGTGGGATAGAGAGGAGAACCCGTCAATTACGACGGCGGCAAGGGAGAAAGTCGGCCACCCACCTGCAAAGCTTCTCTGGGAGGTTATCATTTGCCAGACGGCTCTAGGCTTTTTGTATAACTCGGAAATTATTCTTCGTACAGCCAAAGTGCCTAAGTTAAGTTCCAATGGCTGGCGTGACAGTATTAGCCTAAATAAGATGAAGGCACACCGAACTTTCTTGGACAATCACTAATGTTTATTAACGGCAATTGTTCGGTCTGTTATTATTGGCTGATTCCGAAGAATAGTAACATTATCCGCACCTACAATCTGCTGTGGTTCATGCTCATACCAATACTGTTTTAGCTCAACGTCATATCTGTGCAGATTGAGTGGTGCAGGATCTTGGCAACTCTATCGTGTTGAGGAACCTATTCGCTCTGAGTCATATTTTTACAGACCCTCATATTTCGACGACATTTTATCCCAACATTCACTATACTTCCACTACACGTAAAAGTCATAAGCTGCGTATCAGTTTCACGGTGTCAGTTTTCCCTTAGCTACATCAGAAAAAACGTTTGTCTGGGCACAAAAAAATCAGTTCGAAAAAACCAGATCACGTCCCGCGCTTTTCCATTTACCATAACGTTCGTGACTTGGATACATCATACAGACAAGGGCCAGTTTGTTGCCTACCGTACCTTACACATTTTAGGGGGTCCCCCTGGGGGTCTCTTGTTGGAGAAACATCATTTTTCACTGTTAGGGATGTCTATGTTGGGGTGAAAGGATAACGGTGTATATGCAGGTATAAAAATTGTGACATTAGATAGTCGATTCAGTCAATTTATGCGAAGTTGTGTTTTATCCAGCCACGAAGACAAAACCTAAGGGTACTGGGACTGCTAAAAAGATGACAGATAATTGATTGGTCCGACTTTTGAACTGCATAAAGACCATTTCAGATAATATATTTTCTTGTTAAATTCTATTGGCAAAATCACCACCACTATCTTTTAACTTGTCAAAAATAAGGGTTTGGTACTAGAAAATAGAGAGTCTTTAACGTTTAATCTTCATTATTTCGATTTTGAATAACTGTTCGAGACAACCCTTGGTCTTGAGAAATAAGAGAGCTCTGTTAGTTACAGAAATGGTTACGGAGAATAGGGGAGGGCTTATTTCGTTAGGTTATCTTCACCTTATCCAGTGATGTTGCCGAAATTCGTAAAGCGAGGTAAGGATAACTGAAATAATTTTAGGTTATAAAATATATTGGTTGACATGATGTAACAGACATATGAAATCTAGATCAGAAATAAAAATAAATGGAAGAATTAGACATCATTCTAAATGAATTGAATTGTCCTGATTTTTTTTTATTATATACCTTCATATATGTGGCTTTTTATTTTAGTTCTACTGGTTTTATGGCAACTTGTTGGCCTGTGGTTCTATCATTCTGAACCTACAGTTCTTGTCCGGTTTGAACAAAAATATTAGCGAAAAATTTCCATAAAAAAAATCAAGGTTTCGAAATTCTGGGCTTATCTTCACGTCAAAATCGGAAAAAATAAGCAACTGTCATGACTGTTTTATCCCTTCCTGATGGTCTTTAATTGCTACGATAAGCATATTCAAATAGAAGAAAAATAAAAAATACTCACTGTCCTCGCCCTGGCATGGCATCCCAGGCTGCGGCGGCACATTTGGAAAAACTGTGGACAAAACCAAATGCATTAAATGATCAGCATCACTCATGTATTCAAGCATGGCCAACTTAAACATTGCAGTGGAAACATGCAAAACGCCATCAAAGGCAAAACAATTGATGCAGATGCAAAAAAGCCATCTTGATCAACCAGGTTTTCGTGAAACTTTACTGTATCGTTTCGCACGTATTTTAGTCAGAGTAATCATCACAATAACCAATAATATTATCAATAAGATAAGATAATGGTGCAGCTATCACCTTTTGATTGTAAATAAGAAAATAAATATTTATCATCGTAAAAAAGTGCGAGACTAAAGCGGTGTTTGTGTACATAACCTCAATGTTATAATATGGCGAGGCAAGTTCATGAAATAAATTTGGCTTAGATAAAAGTAAACGAGTGACCCTCAAGTTTTATGACAGAATTGTATTTACCTTATTTGTATACTGAGTTTATAACATCCAGCACGTGCATATTTGGCTGATGGGGTATTTTCAAAAGCTTTCATTTTCTAACATTGATAGTTTAATATGAAATATATGGTTAAGTTTATTAGGTATCCAAAATCAAACTCTTTTAGCAGTTACAAGGCGAGAAAACATCACACCAACCTTGGAAACTGTTTACAAATAATCAACTTCAGTTATTACATCTAAATTTCTTTAGATGGAGAATACCCCATAAAGCGTTTAAAAAATAATATTGCAGCACGTATCTATCTTGACTCAAATAATTAAAAATTGCACACATTACAGTCAACATACATTCAAAACCGTAAATCAACAATCAAAATGACCACCCTAAAAGCTCCAAACCTTATGCGGTTAAAAACACGTGTCATACTTCATTCTTACCAAACTAGCAGGAATTATTTTTAGTCATATTTTACTTGCATGCTTCCAGTTTTAAATAAATAAAAAAAGTGCCATGCACATTCCAGCATGCTGAATGAATGTAAATGAACAGAAACACCGTTTCGGAGTGTGTACACAGAAATCTATTACATATACAGTTATCTGATATATTAATTTTAGTTCATGTGGAGATGTGAAAAATATAAACAATATTGTAGGGTTTGGTATCTTCTTCAAGAAAGTAAGCACCAAGCACGAAGAAAGGCCGCATCAACACCCCAATGCAGAAGCTGAACAACTACAACGTTGTTCGATGAATGAAGACGATCCAGTCGTACTAACTTGTTTAGTGTTTTGTGCCTAAAGCAGAGCGCGTGTTCTTAATAATACTATTGATTATACATTTAGGTTACCTAAGTGATATCAAAAGATTGCCCCTAGTGATAAGTATTATTTTATCAGAAGCCACGGAAAAATTAACGGTTCATCTCAGTGATAAATACACGGGCGTCAGACTTTTAAAAAAAATGGCGTAGAGTAGGTTGAGTGTGCACTTCCTCTGCAACGCCGTCATCAGTTCATAAAGGATTAAGTTCGGCGCAGATAAAAGTCGGTTACGAAGATGTACAACAGATAAATTAAACGGATTAAGTGATTCAAACAGCCCCTACAATTACTCCATAGACATTTTTCCCTGCCCTACCGGTAGTTACTATCCGTTTGGCGACGTTGTCCCTTTCAACAACCGCGCGGCATCGAAGCAGCGAGTTGTTGATTCCGTGCGTGGTTCGTGTTCGGTTCGCCGGGTGATGATCTTAAGCAGGAGTACGCGGATCGAAAACATTTTTCTATTATTAAGGTGCGTTCAGATCTGAGCACCCATGCAAGGATCCACCGCGAATGCTCAAGTGTAAACGGCTATGCGCGCACGCTCACCCTGTATCTCTGTAAAGCACAGGAAAAAATCAAAAGTCTGATGGGATCATTTCGTCTAGAAAAAAAGAAAAATGATGATTTTGGCACTCTGAAAAGATAGTGCAAGCTGCTGTAGGAGTATCCAGTTGCCAAAAAAAACGCAAGGTTATGGCTAAACGTTTTCTTGGTGATATAGATTTTCGAAACTGTGTATCAATTTTTATTATCGTTGGTGTTACCAACGTAAGCAGGTATTCAAAGTCAGCCTTGGTTATTCTTGTAAAATTTCTGAATTGATCATACACACTGTTTAATACTAACTCCTTTCGTTTCTGATTTTCTTTTATTTTAATTAAGTTATACAGTATAATAAATGTTGCCGCGGCTATATGTCTATTCTCGATGTTAACTTCGTACGCGAACGACTGGATCAGCCCATGCGTTGAAAAATGAATTTCAGTTTAAACACTTTCCATGCACGCGAACGAATGCATGCGCGTATGCTCAGTGCGTGCGTGCTCATATGTAAACGCACCTTAGGTTTTAAAGGCAAATGTACGGGAAAATCTATAATGTATGAAATATGACTATGTGCATATTGTTGGGAGCGTATAAATACACTAAGATCAAAATATTTTCATATGCCCTTACCTATCCCCGACAACCCCCAACTTCAACCTCTACAAAAAAAAATCCGATAACGGTCAGGAGTCCCTGAAATGCCAACAAACGAAATTTGAGCGATTTTTATTTTCCTAGTTTTTCGCCCCCCTACTCCGCCGTCACTGGATCTATTCTCAAAAACTACAAAATTTTTCTTCCTTGGTATAGTAGTCAGATTGTGTGAAAATTTCATCAAAATCCGAGCGGTATTTCTCAAGTTATGGAGGGATCAAGCATTAGCGGAAAGACAGACTGACAGAAATGAGTGTCATGGTTTTTCGTGATAACAAATATCATCCAAAAAACATAATTTTCCATTTCCGAAATTTTTTCGCAATAACAATACTTCCTCGACTAGTGGCATAGGAAGTGAAATTGAATCCTTTGATCACTGCGTGAAAGCCGTCTATTCAAGCATTCGTTGATTAACGCCCATCAACGCAGCTTCCTTCCGGGAATAAATATTTTTTTCATTTACGTCCTTGTTTTCAAAAATAGAATTAGTAGTTTGTTTGGACTGGGTATGGCACACTGAAAGAATGCGCGTTTAATGAATTTTGGGTTTAATCAAATTTTGCTTGTATGCACATGTGGCATAGAAGCCTACACTTTTCAACCAATGGATGTATTCCACCATATTGCATGCTGATATTATAGCAATAAATCAGCTTAGGCATCCAGCACTCACCCCCAGTGACATATTTTATTCGCCGCTGATTTTGTAGTGATTAATGATTCCTTGTGTAAAGGGCTTAGGGAAAATTTTTTGCCTCGCGGTGAAAAGCTTGCGACCTTTTTGTCCGGGTGTATGTTTGTTTTCTTCTTTGTCAGCTTTGTGACTTTATGCTTAAAGGAGGGTCGCTCGGAAGGCCGTACGGAAACAAATAGAAAACTAGGATTTGTTTTTGTGCCTCCACTCCACAGGGGAAGTACGGTTACGTAAAAATTCAATTTCAGATAATTTGATTTTCTAAGAAAGGTCGGGAGCAGTAATAATTTGAGATTATTTGATACTGAAGGCAGAAACTTAAATACCAGGGCACCGTGACTGCTATGAGGAACTTAAAAGATGCCTGGTTTATCCGATTTTTGAATTGCCTAAGGTTATCAAAAACAGGAAAAATCTCCACATGCAGACTGTTCCACAATTTTGACACCTCAGGAACGAAGGAGCGGTCGAACCGACCAGTTCTCGCTGTGCGGAGTTCGTTTGGAATGGAAGACAGAAGCCTGACGGTTCCATCTGGCAGACTCAGCGCGGCATCATGGAAGAGAGCTCTGAGGAGCAAAGGCTGTTGATGTAGCGATAGCCGACCGCACTTCGGTGCGAAAATGCCGCGAGGCTCCGTTAGGGAAGTGTCACTGATTAGTCGAACATTCCTTCTCTAATCCGCATCGGGTAAGGACAATGTAGTCGTGGCGACAGAAATCCAAACGTGTTAGCAGTACTCGAGGCTAGGTCATATTGCTCAGAGTGAGGAGGTTGTGCCAGGAAAAGTATCTTTTAGCCCTAAATAACCTAGCTTTTTACCTGCAGCTGTTGCGTTTGACGACGTGTTCATGTGAAATCAAGTCCTCGGTGATTTTGACTCCGACCAGCCGAAATGAAACGCTCTTTGGCAAAACTCGGCCATTCATCAAAACCAGATGAGCGCTAGGGCGCTTTTTGTTAGTTTGGAAACATTAAACTGTACCCGAGAGGAAATCTTGACTAGTCTTCTCTCCAGCTCAACAGTAGATTCCGGCTTGTCACGCTAAATGTCTGCGTGTAGAGTGCTGTCACCGGCAACGGTGTGAATGTATCTGATCGTACAGAAGAGAAGGTCATTTTTTTATATCGAAGCAGCCGCACAGGAAGAAGACTGACTGCCAGAACACCGCAGCTGCTATATAAATAGCTAGTAAATATGGCCGCGGACACTTCACTCTTTATGACACTTCAAACAGTCGTAAATTGGCGAAAGTAAAATTCAGTGGACATATCAGATGTGGACATCACATGACAATTAAAAACTTAGAACCAAAAGCTGCGTTGGTCTCGAGCGTCTCCAGTACCCACTTGAAGATAGTCAACCTAATACTGTATTCCAGCGTCCAAAAAATCAACAGAGATGAAATACCATGACATTATCTATAAGAATTTGTCACAGCTACATATATGTTCCTTTTTTCCATAATATCTCGAAATTTCAATATTTAGAGATCTACTTTGAAAAGATTAGTGTCTCATATATATGGCGCTGTAGTCAAATATATGAGCCTATAGTGCCCTCTATATGAGTCACTATCCTTTTCAAAGTAGATTTCTTATCACTGAGGAGAGGAGAAACACATCTGAATACAGTATTAGGTTGGCTATCTTCAGTTAGAATACATTGAACAATGATAATATTTACGTATACATATTTCGCAGATGACAAACTATGACCTGTCTCATTGCAGCTCAGCACACGTAGTAAGAACTTTTAACTAAGAGCAAAGGTCCACCGGACTGCTCTGACGAATAATGACGAATAGTACGTAGTAAGAAAAATGAAAAATATAAAACCATTGTAATATGCGTCAGTTTCT